AAAAAACTCCTGATGTTACATGCCACTCAAATCGCACCTTTGACGAGTAGGGGGCGCGATTTGCCCGGAAACGAATAATTGGGCAAATCTCTCATGCTGCTTTTCAAATTGCACCTCTGACAGGTGCAGGGCGTATAGTACTGTACTCTGACTGAAAAAGCCCCATAAACGATCCATGGTGTTATGTGCAATTCAAATCGCACCTTTGACAGGTAGAGGGCGTAAGCCGCGCTGAACACGCAGTTGGCGAGCTGCCATGCGTAGCCAGAGGCCGAGAATTGGGCGTCCGTGGCGCCGCCCGTCATGACTGACGCGATCATGAGGGCCAGGCACGCGTACACCTGCCAGGAATAAGACCTGCGTGGGGGTATGATTGCGTGTGTTTATATGTTTGTGTGTGTTATACGTATGTATGTGTGTGTGTGTGTGTTTGTGTGTGTGTGTGTGTGTGTGTGTGTGTGTCGGGATGTGTGCGGGCAGGATGGAGGCGAGCGGGTTTCGTGGGTGGATGAAATTACCGTGTATCTTTGCTTGAGAGTGAGGAGGGACGCGACTGCCAGTGAGCGATCGGCGTGTGCAGTGTGGTTGTCTGCATCACTCAAGATGAGCATCACCCCCTTCGCTCAAACCCCTAGAACGTGTGCCCTCATGGCCTGCACCTGCATGCTGACTGTCAATGTGCAGCCCCGCACCCCTCCTGACCTGCGGAAGTACCAGTAATCCCCTGCAATGATGAAAACGTTTGAGAGGTTCTTCAGGATCGACACCATGCCCACGCCCTGGAGGGGTGGGGTGGGGTTTTTTTGTGGGTAAGTGGGGTGATGAGGGGAGGGCGGCGCTCGGCCAATTATGAGGCAAGGAAAGAGGGAAGGGCGGGGCAGGGGGCTGGGCAGCGAGCGTCAGGCGTCATCCGGTTGCCCGAGGCCGCTACGCCGCAGGTTTGTCCGGCCAATAGCGGCCGGGGACGACTGGCAGGCGCCGGCCCGAAACCCTTGAGCCCCGTGCTGCCAAGGCTGCAGCCTCGCCCTTGAACTCGCGCGCGCGCGCACGCGTGCACACTCACGTAATCACACACGGACACGACCCCCCCCCACAAATGCACATATGCACACACAGCTACACCCGCGCGCAGCCCGCACCACTTTCTCGAGCGCATAGAAGTTGGTAGCCAGCATGGCCACGAAAATCAGATTGACTGGCATCCACATCCGCGCCACCTGCCACGTCAGCGGCTCGATGCGCCCGAGCCCCAGCAGGGCGATGACTCGCGCGAGCAGGACCGCCAGGCTGCGGAAGGTGAGCGGGCGCAGGGGGCAGGGGCGAGGAGGTGTTCGACCGGGGCGCGTGCAGTATAAATGCGGGGGAGGGGGGGTCTGCACCGCGGCCGCTGCTGCCTGGTGCGTGTGCAGTCTGCTGGTCGGCTGCATGGCGCGAGAGCCGGCTGCCTGTGAGCGCTGCTGCCCGGCCACGCACAGTCAGCGTAATCAGCCCCGCCCCCTTTGACGCCATTTCTCATACACATTCAGTTGGTCCAATCTCTTTCAGAGTGCACGCAGGCGGGTGCACGCGCAACCGCTGCCCCTGGCGGGGCACAAGCGGGTGCGCACATGCGCATGCTGATGCGCGCATGCGCACATGCGCCCAATGCCACTGTGATGTGAATAGCGCGTCACTCACAGGCAATGGTAGAACAGTAGGGAATGGACGGAGCTGAAGGAGTAGTGCACCAGAACCTTCTTATTCAGTAGTATCAGCGCCGCGCTGCTGATTACATAGCTGACGCCGGCCGCCGCGGCTAGGCCCTTGTTGCGCCGCTCTCGTGCGGAGTGCAGACCGCCGGGGCCGCCGGTGCTGAAGGCGCCGGCTGCCTGGGGGAGCAGCGGCGAGGGCGTAGTGTGCCGCTTTGCGAGCGGCGACCCCTGGCCCTCAATGTCAACTGTCTGGTAGTCTCTGCCACTGCTCGAAAATACAATGTCGGGCCCAGAAAGCGACTTCTTCATTGCCGCGATCATTGCATGCGCATCCAAGCTTGCTGGGAACAGATCATCGCTGTGAAGGCCGCTGCAATATGGTGAGGAAACAGCTCAGATTTTTCAATGCAATGCTGCACGTGCGAGCTGCCGACGAGATTCGAACGGCAAGGAGTGACTCGGTGTAGTTTGTTGATGCTTCGTGCAAGGAAGGTGTGCAAGGCGATCCTTTGTGTAAGTCAGCAAGAATCCTACTGCACCGTGGCTGCATTGCTGGCACCTGGTGACACATGAACCTGGCCGCAACCTGGCCGCAACAGTCAACACACATTGGCACGACTCATTTGACTAGCAGGGATCCAGCAAGCTGTGGTTTAGTCAGCTTCAATTGTGCGTGGGCTAAGTCTGCCATGGAATGATGACTGCGCAGTGCTTGCATACGTGAGCATATTCATGACTGATACATGTGTGCCAATGTTGCAGCTGACACTTGAAGGCACAGGCACACCACAGGGCCCCCAGACGCGTCACAAGTCACAAATCCTGACGCTTTGTACTGCAGCTTGCCAAAGTGATGAAAACAAGACAAAACGGAAACGGTTGGGGGTGGACTGCACCTTGTTTGCATTTTCATGCGTGAATGCCTGACCTGGTGGTGGTTCTCCAACAAACCGCCGCTCGGCTCAAGCAGGCCGAGGGGAGGCGGCAGACTGCAAAGAAGCGACGTTGGCACCGCTGCGCTGATCCACTCGCCAGCTGCAACCCCCACCTGCCACTCTTGGCTACTCGTTGAAACAACAATCCAGGCCTGGTGCGCACATCCTCTGTTGGTATGAGCTTGTCACTCTCACAGTTGGAAGAGGACTTCTCGTCCAGGTCACGCACTCGTTGCTCCAAACTGGGCCCCATTGCATATGGCATGCGCTCTTGCGTGAGCCGGAAGCCCATGTATCCAAGCGGAGCCCACATTTCGGAGGTGCAGGAACCAACACTCACGGCGGCTGGTGTCACACCAGCCATAACGGTTGCAGGGTGTCGGCCCTCAGTTTGAGTCACTGCGAGGGCAACACACACACCCCAAATCCCCTCGATCTCCCGAGGGGCTGGCAGACAGGAATGCAGATGCTGGAAGCTGCCGTGCAGCTGCTGTCCAGCCTGAGTTGTGAAGTCACAGAATTCCTCTCGGGGGCATCACAGGCGGCGCCAAAGAGGCGGCCCTCGCCTGGGGGTGTGGCGGCAATGGCGCAGTGTTGCACACGGCGTGCGTGCTATATGAGGCGCACTATTTTGACACATTCCAACGGAAGCAGCAGCAGCAGCAGCAGCAGCAGCAGCAGCAGCAGCAGCAGCAGCAGCAGCAGCAGCAGCAGCAGCAGTAGAGGGCGCTGCTTCTAGGATGCCCACAAATTGCATGTCACTGGCAAAGAAGGCATTTGCGAACTGCACACATCCCAACAGCTCCTTGCTCCGGTGTGGGCGTAGCGTGTTTGCACTGCCACTGTTGTGCGCTGCGCCGCGCGCACGCGCGCTTGGGGCCCGGTCAAACCGCGGTCCACGCCCCCCACCAAAAGTGATATGTGGTGTATGGGGCCTGTTCTGCGAGCCTCCAGGCTATATAATGGTATCTGATGTACGATTAACCCGACCCATCGACCGCCCTTCGCACATTCCCGCAGCTTCGCGGTCTTTGCGACTTGCTGTTTTCCGCTCGATTCGGCCTCAAATACGCCCCCAGCCTTCATATTCATTTATTATTCGAAGAAGAGTTCCTCTCTTTCCACCCCACAGCCGCAGGCACGACCACAACCAGTACGCAGAGTCCACTGCATCCCCTTGCATCCCCAGGTGAAGCCCCCCAAGCTGTACGCCAAACCTCCCCCGGCATCCGATCGCGAAGCTGTTCGGCTTTGCCCGTGAGCCTTATCACGGGCGCCAATCCCTCCTCTGGATTAATTGTCCCCATGCTGATGGAATCGGGTGGGTCAATGAGGATCCCGTACGCTGTGCGGGCAGGTACACCGCAGGTCGTCTCAAGCTGGATGACTACAGTACCAAGCGGCGGCGTTCAATGCGCCTACCCGCCCTTGGCATGCGTTGTTGGGGTGTTGCCTGCATAAGCATGGGGTCGGCCTGTCACACACAAGCTGCTGTCGATGAATCGAGAGAGGGTGTGGCTGTTGCAGTTGTTTGCGCAGCGCCTTTCACCACACATTGCTAGACGGGCACCCAACGCTGCTGCGCACAATGCATGTTAAGGATGTGCAGGGTCAACCACTTGAAAAGCATCTGAAAGCAACAGCTGTATCATCTTCGAATGCAGCATATGCTGCTGCAAACGTGTTTCCCCTGGCCTGCCTTGCATGACTAACCAGAGTCCACACGCTGATCTGCACTTTGCTGGTCTGCCACGTGTGTCTGAGGGCTGACGGGTCTGCTGTGCGGCACATGCAGCCAGTACGTTTGCAGAGCCATACTGGATCCCAAGCTGTTGTTCCCGACCAGCGGGCACAAGCATAAAAACATAGCACAATGCTTGGCCAGTGGGGAGGCGCGTTACACTGGGTGTGCACCTGGTGGGTGCCTGAGTGCGTGCAGATGTCAAGGGATGCAGCAGATGGTACGCCCACATCGCCATATGCCAGGACAGGGCGGGTCCGCTTGCTGCCTGCTGCTTGCAGAATACAAACCCCCTGCAAAATTGAGAGAAAGTGACATGATGGGAAGTCGGAAAGCTGGGTGCCTGCTGTACCTTTGCCCTCCTGGCGCCTGCAAGCCCAGTCCGTCACTGCACCGCACCTGGCAGGCGCCCGGTGCCTGCCAGGTAGCATCGGGAGCTCAGACACGCGGGCCTATCACGGCCGCAGGCGCACCCGCGCGCACGTTCATGAGATTGGGGGAGTGAGGGTGCGCCCCACTGGGGGCGCTGCACTCCAACCACGCGGCGGCGCGAGCCCGCCTGCCGGCCTCATCCACGGCCAGTATCGGTGTCCTGTATAAAATGTAATGCAAACTCGAGCCCTTGTGAGCATGCGGCCTTGATATCGGCCTGCACCAGCAGGCTCTGCAGCTGCCCCGAAATCCACACCAGCGCGCTGGTCAAGCAATCAAGCCTGGGCAAAAGATGACGCCCCTGCAACCACACAGCCGGACCTGCTGCGCGGGCGAACCACCACCAAATCCCCCCAGCGCGACGACACGGCCTCCGCCGCCGCCGCGTGTTGATCACGGCGTTCGTCACGGCTGCGGCGTTTCGGCTGCCACGCGTGCATAGGGGTTGCCGCCGGCACGGAGCTCCGCCACGAAACCGAAAAGCGCCTTGCTGGCGGGCAGCTCGTCGTACGGCGTGGTGCACGGGCCGCCGTACTCGGCGGGCACCTGCGCGGCGGTTGGTTGCGGTTGAGGCCACCGCGAGCTGGCTGAGGCTGGGCGCCCAGGGGGTTGTGCACAAAGATGATGGCTGGGACCTGTTTGACCGCCGATGTGGATTGCGCCGCAATACACGACAAGGCCCCGCTGCTACCTGTAAACACAGACCAATGTGCTTTGCCAAGAAAGAGGATGGACATTCCGCAGCAGGAAGCAGCCTGGTTCAAAATTACAAACACAGCCAACAAGGTCCCACGTGTTTTAGCCACGCAGCCGGTCCAATGGCCGGGCCAGCTCACGTTCTCTGGGCCGAGCACCTCGTCCAGCGCCTCCTGCACCTTTCTCTGATTGAACTCCAGGACCACCTGGTGACGGCGGCGGGTGACAACGGGTGACGACGGATTACTACACCTGTGACGATGAATATCAACGTCGTGCACTGCCACTAGATACGTTCACGATTTGGCGGAGCCAATTGCAGGAATCTGATGCTGACATGCCTCTGGCTCGAAGAGAATGCTTTGCAAGAATGTATTCAGTGCGCGATCACACATGTCGGTGGGGCACGGCTGCGCCAGGCGCCTGCGGAATCGCAATGTGAAAGGGCTACCCCCGACATCTATCCAGCGCTCAGGTTGGCAGGTGATTCAGGTGCAGCGCCTGAAAGCCCCCCCTCCCCCCACCTTGGAGCGCGTGTTCTCGTCCAGGATGTTATAGGCTATGCGCCTGGCGGCGACGCGCGGCGGCGGTTGGCGAGACGGCGGGGGCGATGGGGCCGAGTGCGGCTGACATTGAAAGCTATGCCGACCATCGCCATCAGTCGCAAGCCAAAAGGTCCCCGTCGCGCAGCTCTGATGGAGCCGCCACACCTCGGGGCAGAGGTCTCGGAGCCGTCCCCATTACCCCCCCCCACATACACTTGCACGCACAGTCACACACAAACGCAAACACAGCAGCCATGATACCTCAAATTGCAAGCCCCGACCCGGCGCACCAAGGCGCGTCAAGCTGAAGCATAAGGCAGGCCACCGAGCTTTCAGCATGCCAACCCAGACCAGCCCAGCGCACTACCCAGACCCAGCCCAGCCCAACCCAGCCCAACCCAGCCCACCGAACTGCATGTGTTAAGAGCACACAGGCGTGAGCAGCTCAGCAACCCTCTCCTGCGCACCAGGGCATGTCGAACCAGGAGGGTGCGTTGATGACGAGGGCTTTGTTCATGCGCTCCGGGTAGTACAGCCCAAACGACGCAAACACCTGCAGAAGGCGGAGGGGCGCGCGGCCGCGTTTTCGCAGGTCGGATTGTGGCGCTGAGGAGAGGCGGTCCAACTCTGGCGTCGGAATCTGCCTAGCTGGACAGCGGCGGAGGCTCGGGAAAGTGAGGTGGTCGAATGTTCGTTATTGCGAGCACAATCACAAGGGGTGTGGAGTTGGGGCGTCAGCCTGAGCAGCGGGCCGACCGACACCAGGCTCTCATGACCGCCAAGGCACGTGTATCAATATCCACAGCCCCGTCTGCTGAGAAGTTGACCGTAGCGCGCGCGCCCATGCAGCCAGCCCAGAGCCACCGACCCAGCCCTGGACTCGTTGGCAAGCGGTCAGCATGGCGGCAAGAGCCTGTGGTCGCCTCCAAATCAACCGCTCGCCACCATGCCAGGAACATGTCTGCTATACCC